GTCTAATCTATAGTTGTGTTCAAATTTCATCAATTGTCCCAATAATGTCCTTTTTAAAATTGTGGTTTAAAAAACACCCACATAACAGAAAATTTACCATCTTAACTATTTTAAGCGTATAGTTTAATAAAGTATATTCACACTGTTGTGCCAATATATTTTATAGCAATTGAGTACCTCTATTCAGGATCCCACGTTGCTTTTAGTTAACTTACCTTGTTTAGTTTCTTCTAACCTGGAAAAATTCCCCAGACTTCCTTTGTTGATGACTTTCATGACATGGGTCTTTTGAAAAGTCTACTCTAGGCCAACTATAATCTTGTATTTTTGTTATGTTTTTGTAATAAAGGTGCTAATATAGAAGATATGATTAGCATAAATAAATGGAAACATGAAAATATCCATAGTTTTTGTTAGTTTTACTTTTTTTTTTGGTTTTTGGTAAAAGAGGACCAGGTGTTTGTCTCTTCTGTTAAAATATTCTTGGGCTTCCTAGTGTTGACTTGTGTAAGTTCTTTATATATTTTGGAAATTAACCCCTTATTGGATGTGTCATTGGTGAATATGTTCTCCCGTACAGTGGGTTCTCTTAATTTTGTTGATGGTTTCTTTTGCTGTGGAGAAGCTTTTTAGCTTAATGTAGTCCCATTTGTTTATCTTTCCCTGAGTTTTCCTTGTCCTCGAAGATATATCAGCAAAAATATTGCGGTGAGAGATGTCTGAAATTTTACTGCCTATGTTTTCTTCTAGGATTTTTATGGTTTCACAGCTTACACTTAAGTCTTTTATCTTTTATCTATTTTGAATTTATTCTTGTGTAATGGTGTAAGTTGATGGTCTAGTTTCGTTTTTTTGCACGTATCCGTCCTATTTTCTTTTTTTTCTTTTTTAAATTTTTTTTTGTTTCTTTGTTTTTTGTTTTTTTATCCTCACCCGAGGACATTTTCCCATTTTTTTGTTCAGGTAGAGTGGGAGGGAGAGAGAGGAACAGAGAGAGATAGAGAAACATCGATGTGAAAGGAACACATCGAGTGGCTGCCACCCGCACAACCGACCAGGGCCGGGGACAAACTGCAACTGAAGTACGTGCCCTTAGCGGGAACCGTACCTGGGTCTCTCAGGACCGCAGGTCAACGCTCTAACCGCTGAGCCAAACCAGTCAGGGCTCCATCCTATTTTCATAACACCATTTATTGAAGAGATTGTATGCTCTTGTCTCCTTTGTCAAATATTAATTGACCATAGAGACATGGGTTGATTTCTGGGCTCTCCGCTGTGTTCCATTGGTCTGAATGCCTGTTCTTATGCCAGTACCAGGCTGTTTTGATTACAGTGGCCTTGCAGTATAGTTTGATATCCGGAACTGTGAAACTGGATAAAGAAAGTGAAGGGATTAGCCAAAACATATATGCATACCCCATGGACACAGACAATAGTTTGGTGAAGGCCAAGGGAGAGGGAGGTGGGGGTGGGTGGAGGAGGGCAAAGGTGTGGGGGGGGGAGACACACTTGCAGTTGTGTCAACATTAAAAATAACAAAAACTTTTAAATTAAAAAAATGCCCTTGGGCAACATGCAGGATCCTCTGTATCGCAACTGTTCCAATGTCAATCTCCTGGTTGTGAGACTGCATCATAGCTTTGCAGGATGGGATATGTGCATTGAAACTGAGTGAAGGGTACAGAAATCGTATCTGTATGATATCTTACAACTGTATGTGAATCTACAATTATCTCAAAATAAAAAAGTTTAATTTTTTAAAACTGTCCTTTGGCATTTCAGAGAGTGAAGGGTCAACCTTTCTCCTAGGGAGAACCTGGCCCCTTCGTGAAATTCCCAGCAGGAATCCTCATGCCTGAGAAAGGACTTCTTAATGAACTTCTTTCACTTGCAGGGGTTGGGGGAGGGGAGCCTCCTCTGCTTTCCACGGGGATATTTTAAAATGAATGAAGGGAGCAAGGTCCCTCATTAAGGCTGAAATGGGAACTCCTGGGGGCAGGGTTCTTTAGAAGGGAGGCCAGGCCCCAGATCTGCATTTCCTGCTACAAAGTTATCACATTAACAGTAATCCCAGCTCCTTCCTCTATCCAAGAGTGGGTTGTGAAGGAGAATTTTGGAAACACCCTTTTCATCTATTGTCTTTGTTGCAAAGTTATTAATAAAACTGAAAAATCATAAAGACCTAAATAGGCAACCATGGGAATTCAATATGGGCGTTCAGTAGAATATTATGGCACATTTTATGATGATGTTGTACTATTTATAATCGAAGCCAAGAACGGTGTTGTCTGAGATTTGAAGCCGTCTTTTAAAGCACTTGATCTTTCCCATAGGGTTGAGGGGATGTGGGTTGTTGGCAGAATCGACTAATTTCTGGGTGTTCTCAGAGAGCTCAGTTAGGGTCTAGCCTCTCCCTACCTTGAAAGTTTGTCCATCCCTGTGCTATTTTGAACCCAGAAACTCTGAACATAGTATCCCTTGACCCTTGTAGGAATTTCTCCCAAAGAAACAATCAGGTGTGAAAAAAGAATCGTGTATAGGGATGTTTTTGGTCACGTTCTGTTTATAAGATTGAAAAATTGGAATAATAGCAAGTACTTATGGAGCACTTACCATGAGCCAGTTGCTGTGCTCTTTTACAAGCATTATCTCATTTCATCTTTTCAAGTAGGTTCTAGTAATATCTCCATTTTTACAATTGAAAAAAAGAAATGGAAGCACAGAAAAGTTAGTAATTTGCCCAAGACAACATAATTAGTAAGTGGGGGAGACAAATATGTAAACAAGAGCAATAACACAATGTGATAAGCACGAAAATAGAAACAATATGAGCAACAATAGGTAGGCAATGCAAAGTACTAACATTATATAAGGTGTGTATTTGGGTGCCTAAAATAAAGTCATGTACATGGCATTTTATTTTTTTCGTACGTGCCCCTAGTGGGAACCGAACCCAGGACTCTCTGGTCCACAGGCCGACGCTCCAACTGTTGAGCCAAACCGGCCAGGGCTACATGGCATTTTAAAATGGTTATTATCTGTACTTCAAACTTGAATGTGCCCAGCAACCACATGGAGATCTCCTTAGAAACGCAGATCTTTAATCAGCCAGACTAGGGTAGGCCTGAGAATCTGCATTTCTCTGATTCCCAGGTAATGTTTTTGCTGCTGGTCCAAGGACCACACTTTGAATTCAATAGCTTGGGAGAGCCCTGAATGGGGGGGGGGGGATGAATCACAGAAACCTCAGTGACCTGTCATATGGAAAAGGACTAGAACACAAAACAGTTACTGTCTCATTGCAATGTTGGGCTATAGTTTCAAGTGAATTTCTTTCCCTTTCTCTATTTTCTGACATAGTCCAATCAAATTCCACAAATATTTATTAAATGCCTCAATACCTGTCACTGTAAGAGCAGAAATAAAGGAAATCCAGTGGTCTCCTCAAGGATGTTAAAAAAAGAAAAGCCTAAAATAATTTAAAGAGACACACTTAAAATGGGTGCATTTCATTGTTTTAAAAGATTAAAAATATTTTAAAATAAAAATTCCTGGATGGTGAGTCAGGAAGCCTGAGTTCAACCCCTGTCTGTCTGTAACCCAAAGGTTTGTGGTCTTCCAGGTACCTTGAACTTGGACAAGTGCCTGTACACATTCTCAAAGCACTTTGTACTTCTTGGCATCAGTTAATGATTTCACACACACATGAATTTCACATGTGTGTGTCTACTTTCCTGACTACACTCACTTGTAGGCCAGGCACTGCATCTGGTTTTGTCACTGTGGTGTCCCAGCACCTGTCCTGGCATCTGCCCCACAGTAGGCACTCAATATTATCTGTTGAATGAAGGCATGAGTGAAATAATGATTCAGTGGGAGGAGTTGCGTCTCTGGATAGAAGACATTTTGTTCATACCCTTACAGAAAGGATTTTTCAGGAAGGTAGAGAAGAAAGCCTGGCAGGGAAAGCCAGCCAATCCTGCCCATACTCCCAGACCCCATATGCTCCAGGCACTGCCTCCATATTCTCAAGGCTGGGGACAGGGGTATGTGAAGCAGCTTTTGGGTTTAGAGATCTGGTGCTAGATTGCAGGAAGCATGCCTCCATTTTCCAGTATGGACCTGGGGAACTGGAGGGGTCCTTGGGAAGAGAGCTTGGGGGTTAAAGTGTTTCAGGGCTGCAGGGATGATCAACTATCCCAGTACCTTCCCCTCACCCATCTGATCACTGCACTGCACTCCCTGGCTCTATCACAGCCCTTGCTTTTCTTAAGGTCAGTGCTTCCACTCCAGAAGTTCTCCGTGTGGTCCCTGGGAGGCTGTTGGAAATGTTAATTCTCAGGCTCCACCCCGGGCCTTTCTAATCAGACACTGTGGGGGTGCGACCCAGGAATGGGCCTTGGAGTAAGCCCCCCGCCCCCACACCAAGGTGCTGATGCCGGCTCGGGTTTGAGACCTGCCGCTCTGCTCTGACACAGGCCCTCCCAGGACGCGCGGCCTGCGTGGTTCCCGGCTCTGCACGGGGCCTGGCGCCCGGTGGGCAGAGGACAGTACCCATCTGCCGAACGGCGACGTTAACGGTGTCAGCTACCCACTGATCGAGGACCTCTGTGTGTCAGGTTATGTTCTAAACAATGTCGGAGGACCCGCCTCCCAGGGATCACTCTAGGCATAGTGACATTGAGGTTCAGAACGGCCAAGCTGCGCCCAGGAGTGTCACCCAGCGGGGAACCCGGAGGGAGTCCCGCGTGTGACCGCAGCGTTCCTCGGGGGGCTCCACTGGGCACCGCGGCCGCGCGTGTGGGTGGCTACTCCAGGGCGCCCCGGGCCCTGCGGTCTGCGCGTGTCCGCGAGGGCGGTCGCGCGTGTCCGCGGCTCTGCGAGGGCGTCCCGCCCCGCTCCCGGCCGGCGTGGGGAGGAGCGCGGCGGCGGCGGCGGCCCGTGGCGAAAGTGCGGCTGCGGAAGCGCGGCGAGCGGGCCGCGGCGGAGGAAGCTGGGGAGGCGGCGGGAGCCGCGCAGGCTGCAGGCCAGGAGGACGCCATGGGCCGCCTGCACTGCACGCAGGACCCTGTGCCGGAGGCTGTGGGCGGCGACATGCAGCAGCTGAACCAGCTGGGCGCGCAGGTGGGCCTGGGGCGCGCGGGCGGGGCGCGGGGCTGCGGGCCGGGCCGGGCCGGGCCGAGGCGGTGCCGGGAGGCCAGAGACTGGGTCGAGGGCCGCCTGCGGTTGAGGAGCGTTTGGGGGCCCGAGCTGCGTCCGGTGTGCATGTGGCGTTTGGGGGATTTAGGGAGGGGCTGAGCAGAATTGGGGTCGGAGGCGAGTGTGGGGGGCCTCGGTTGTCGCGAGGCCTAAAGTCAAGCTGAGGGGTTTAGGGTCAGAGGTGGGACTGGGGACTTCCGGGAACGAGCCGGCTTGAGGGGTCCCAGGAGAGGGACTGAGGGGCGCCTTGTCGAGGCCGAAGGCAGTTTGGGGAACTAAGTAGTAGGCCGAGGGCGACGGGGGCCGAGGCCCTTGTGGAGACCGAGGGGGGTTTATATCCCGAGGGCAGCCCGGAGTGGGGGCAGGGATTCGGGCCAGAGGGGGGCTCTGGGGCCTGACGCGGGTCTGGGGCGGGGTGGTGATGACGTCCTGCCCGCCCACACCGCAGTTAAGGGAGGTACCTGGTCGTCAGCCCCAAGCAGAGAAACCACAGGTACTCGACGCAGGGTCGGGCCGGCCTGAATGGTAGTGGAGCTGGCCGGGCCCTTTTGTCCCTTTCCAGGCCACAGTCCAACCGGCCAGCCTCGAGCCTTCCTGTTCCGGTTGGGATGCCCCTTTGATGCCACCAAGGCAGGCAGAATAAGTAGGTTAAAGTGACACTTCTCACCACCGCTGCAAAGGTGCAGTGTTTCCCTCACTGGGCTGTGACTTTCCAGGAGGTGGGGCCCGGCCTTTCATCTCAGCATCCCCACAACTTAGTGCTTTCTCGGTGGTTCCCAGGCTGCGGTGTCCAACAGAAATAAATTGCAAGCCACGTGTCTACTTTTACATTTTCTAATGGCCACATTTAAAAATGAAAAAGAGCCCTGGCCAGTTTGGCTCAGCGGTTAGAGCGTCGGCCTGAGGTCCGGAGAGACCCGGGTTCGGTTCCCGCTAAGGGCACGTACTTCGGTTGCAGTTTGTCCCCGGCCCTGGTTGGTCGTGCGGGTGGCAGCCACTCGATGTGTCCCTTCACGTCGATGTTTCTCACTCTCTCTCCCTCCCACTCTATCTGTACAAAAAATGGAAAAATATTCTCGGGTGAGGATAAAAAAAAATAAAAAATAAATAAAAATGAAAAAGAAACGGGAAATTAATTTTAATGTTTTTTTAATCCACTGTATCAAAATATTATTTCAACATGTAATCCACATAAAAAATATCAATGAGATATTTTCCTTTTTGGTACTAAGTTTTCTGATTCTGGTATGTATTTTACATTTATAGCATGTCTCAAATTACACTAGTCCTTTTCAAGTGCTTTATAGTTTCATATGGCTAGGGACTACTGTACTGGGAAGCACAAGTCTAAGTGCTTTTATGTATATTAACTCATTTAGTCCTTGCAACCACCTTCCTAGGTAGGTACTATTATAAATCCCATTTTACAGATGAGGAAACGGAATCACAGAGCAGTTAAATTAAAATAGCTGTCATTTGTTGAGCATGTACCATGTGCCAGACACTGTTTTAAGTACTTTATATGCATCAACCCTAAAAGTGAGGTGCTAACTTTATTGCCATTTTACGGATAAGAAAGATGGTTCAGGGAAATAAAGTAACCAGTTTTGTTTGTTTGTTTGTTTGTTTTATTAAAAATATGTTTTTAGTCCAGCCAGTGTGGCTCAGTGGTTGACCACTGACCCATGCACCAAGAGGTCACCGGTTCATTTCTTGGTCTGGACACATGCCCGGGTTGTGGGCCAGATCCCCAGTGGGGGGCATGCAGGAGGCAGCCAATCGATGTTCTCCCTCATCAGTGTTTCTATCTCTCTCTCCCTCTCACTTCCTCTCTAAAATCAATAAAGGAAAATAAATTTTTAAAAAATAGATATATGTTTTTATTGCCCAGCCGGTGTGGATCGGTGGTTGAGCATCAACCTATGCACCAAGAGGTCGCCAGTTCGATTGCCAGTCAGGCCACATGACCAGGTTGTGGGCCAAATCCCCAGTGGAGGGGCATGCAGGAGGTGGCCAGTCGATATCCTCTCTCATCGATATTTCTGTCCGTGTCTCCCTCTCTCTCTAAAACATCAATAAAAAGAAAAAGAAAAAAATGTTTTTATTGATTTTGAGAGAGAGAAATATCAATCATTTGCCTCCTTGTACACACATCTTCTGAGGATGGCGCCCAAAACTTGGGCATGTGCTCTGACTGGGAATTGAACTAGCAACCTTATGGTGCACTGAAGGTCGCTCAACCAAGTGAGCCACACCGGCCATGACTAAAGTGAGCAGTTTAAAGTCCGGCAGCCCAGAAGTGATGGAGCCAGGAATTCAGGACCAGATGTCTAATTTCAGATCCTGGAGAATTAAACACACACTAGAACAGAGCTTCTAGATGATATCCCAAACCAGATAGCTTAGCTATTACTTGTTCATGTGTAGGTGTTTTCTGAAAGACTTCCATTTGGAGAGTAAAATAGATTCTACATCAGAAAAACATTAAGCACCGGTGCAGTGTGGTTCAGTGGTTGAACAACGACCCATGCACCAAGAAGTCATCAGTTCAATTCCCTATCAGGCACATGCCCAAGTTGTGGGCCAAATCCCCAGTGGGAAGCATACAAGAGTTGGCCAATTGATGTTCTCTCTCATTGATGTTTCTATCTCTCTCTCCCTCTCCCTTCCTCTCTCTCTCAAATCAATAAAGAAAAAATATTTTAAGTATCCACCTGTAATGAATATAATATTGTATGCCAACTATACTTTAATAATAAAGAAACAGCCCTGGCCTGTTTGGCCCAGCGGTTAGAGCGTTGGCCTGCAGACCAGAGAGTCCTGGGTTCGGTTCCCTATAAGGGCACATACCTCAGTTTCAGTTTGTCCCTGGCCCTGGTTGGGGTCGTGTGGGTGGCAACCACTTGATGTGTCTCTCTCGCATCTATGTTTCTCTCTCTCTCCCTCCCATTCTATCTGAAGATAAATGCAAAGATGTCCTCCGGTGAGGATAAAAGAAAATAATAATAATAAAAATAATAATAATAAAAGCACTTTAAGCTACTGGATTGTATGATCCCTAAGGTTACTTCCAACTTGGTAATCATGTAAAATACAAACCATTTCCTTTAAGATCACAGCTTGACACATTTTCTAACCTTGAAACAAACTCTAAACCTTTACCTTTGTTTTTAATACAGAAAGCTTTTTCCTGATAAACAACTTACCAACTTTGGGCCATTTTTTTGCCTTTTGTTGGGTGATCGACTTTTTTGAGTACTCACACTATTAGCTGAATTTACTTTGAAGTCTGAGGCCTAGGACTAAAGGAGAAAAAGAATCATTTTATTAATGTTGGTGTCACCATTTATTGCTCATTTTTATTTATCTGAATGTCTACTAACACCAACTAGCTAATAAACCCAGTGAGGTTTACAAAGGCTTAATGGACACAGCCTGTTGTGTTGGGGAAGTTGTAATCTGCTAGAGCGAGTAAAAAATGGAGACTCGCCCTGGCCGGTTGTCTCAGTGGTTAGAGCGTCAGCCTACGGTCCAGAGAGACCCGGGTTCGGTTCCCGCTAAGGGCACATACTTCCGTTGCAGTTTGTCCCCGGCCCTGGTTGGTCGTGCAGGTGGCAGCCACTCGATGTGTCCCTTTCATGTCAGTGTTTCCCTCTCTCTCTCCCTCCCACTCTATCTGAACAAAAAATGGAGAAATGTCCATGGGTGAGGATAAAATAAATAAACAAACAAAAATGGAGACTCAATATAGTGCTAAGTGTATCTGCATGTGCTTTCTAATTCCTATGATAAGTCCTAGGTACTGTGGAGCCTTGACGATGGGTGGGATTAAAAAATAATCATTTTTAGAATTGTTAAGAGGAAATTCAGAAAAATATAAAGAAGAGCCCTGGCCGGTTTGCTCAGTGGTTAGAGTGTCAGCCTGCGGTCCAGAGAGATCCAGGTTCGGTTCCCGCTAAGGGCACGTACCTCGGTTGCAGTTTGCCCCCGGCCCTGGTTGGGTCATGTGGGTGGCAACTACTCCATGTGTCCCTTTCACGTCGATGTTTCTCTCTCTCTCTCTCTCTCTTTCTCTCTCCCTCCCACTCTATCTGAACAAAAAATGGAAAAAATGTCCTCAGGTGAGGATAAAAAAAAAAAGAAAGAAAAATATAAAGAAGAAAACAAATGGTCTACAATCCTCTTACCTAGCTATAAATGAAAGCAACATAGCAACATACCCACATTAGAAAATTCAAACAGTATCCGAAGGTATAAAATAAATACAAAACACCTATTTCTCTTGTCCCCAGAAATAGTCATTTTAATAGTTTCTTGTGTATCTATGGAGAAAAATGAGTCCACATCTGCCATCACACATAGGTATTCTTTACAGTTTTTTGTTTTTGTTTTACATAAAAGGGATTGTGTGATATTCCTTGAAATGGCTATATCATAATTTATTTAGCCAGTCCCCTATTAGACACTTAAATTGTTTTCAGTCTTTTGTTTTTATGAACAGTGCTATTAATGAACTGCTTTGTGTAAATGTGTCTGGAATTACTTTTTGAACATATCGGAAGGGTATCCTTGCCGTGGAATTACTAGGTCAAGGGACATGGTCATTTAAAAATTAGATGTAGTCCGGCTGGTGTTGCTCAGTGGTTGAGCATCGACCCATACACCAGAAGGTTGCCAGTTTGATTTCCAGTCAGGGCACATGCCCAGGTTGTGGGCCAAACCCCCAGTGGGGGCATGCAGGAGGCAGCCAGTCGATGTTCTCTTTCATTGATGTTTCTGTCTGTCTCTCCCTCTCCCTCTCCCTGAAATCAATAAAGAAAAAATTAAATTACATAAACAAAAATTAGATGTAGCCTGCCCGGCAGGTGTGGCTCAGTGGTTGAGCATCGATCCATACACCAGAAGGTTGCCAGTTTGATTTCCAG